CGGGGGAAGGGGGAAGCGAGGAGGAGGAGGAGCCCCGCCGGAGGATCCCCTGGCTTTGGTCTCCGGTAACGCGTCCTGCCCTCCCCGTACGTGTGTCCCCGGCTGCCGGAGCCCGAGCGGGCCCGGACGCGCTTGCGGGGCTTGGGGCGCGCGTTGCTGGACCGTGACCGAAAAGGCGAAGTAAAGGGAAAATAAAAAACCAAAACCACCGTGGCCTGGGAATGTGCCGGTTCCACCTGGTGATGCCGCGTCGTAAATACGCCCGGACTTCACCGGCAACTCCTTTTCTAGCAGCTTTTGAAGGAAAGACTTTAATTGGGCTGAAAGTTGCTCCGATGACAAATTATTGGCAGCCTCTGGGCGCTGCTGTAGTGCAGCGAGGATTCGGGCCGCCCTGATCCCCAGCGGGGCCGGGGTGCTCCCCGGGGTGGGGAATCCCCTGCAGGCAGCAGCCATGGAAGGAGAGCGCCCGTCGCTCACGACAAAGGAATGTGGGGAACACGCGCAGCTTCCCCGTTCTGGGAGGCCTGACCTTCAGAGCACATCACAAAGCCCGTCTGTCTGTTTGGGGAGGGTAGGAAGTAGAGGGAGGTCGGTCGTTAAATGGGATGAGGCTTTATTTGCGGGCAGGTTTCACAAAGCAGGCCGTGCGCTGCTGCTCCTCTCGACTGTAAGCACCCGAGCTCGGCGGCATCTCGTCTTACAGGAAGGGCCTCAGTCTTTTTTAATACAGTTTTAAGTGATAAATGTAAAAATGTCCCGAAATGCAACAGCATCGGATAAACTTTGTTGTTGTAATAATAATAATAATAATAATAAAGCTGCTTGTGGTGGCTTCGGGGGCCGGGTGTCATCGTCCCTGGTTCAGCGCGGTGGTAACGTCCAGGGGCGTTTCTGAGCTGGTTTTATCCTTGCTGCCGAGACCGGCAGATAAAACCGAAGCAGTTTTTCCAATTCAGGCTTCCCTGCTGTCAATTTTTGCAACACTAGAGCGAGCAGAGGAGTTGCAGGAAAAACTTGGATTTGTGTCAGAAGATCTTAAGGTGGCATTTGGGGAAACTATTTTTAGCAGGATTGCGTAACTTAAAAGCTGAGACTTTACCTACTGGGCAAATTTTTCCTTCCCTGCGCACGGCGCGGTCCTGCTGGAAACGCCTCTCGTCCCAGCTTTTCTCCCGGCCGAGTGAGGTGGGGGTTTGAGGCGAGCAGAGTTCTGGCCGAGGGCTGGAATTTCCCAAGCGAAGCGCCGCGGGGAGGCAACCGGTGTTTAGATGACCGGCTCGGTCGCGATCAGCCTGTCGGGGAGGCTGGGATGCACCGAGGGCTCTCTGAGACTGGCTGGGGCCTCTGGAGTGACCCTTATTCTTGCCATTTAAATTAAAAAAACAGAAAAGGGGGAAAAAAAAAAGGCAGAGTAAATTTTTTTATATTGTTGGAAGACAGGGTGAGGAGCGGTCTGAGATGCGGTGGTGGTTCTCTGTTCTCGTGACCGACTTCAGACCCTTGTCCCCAGGGGAACGTGTATCTGCGTCGGAGGCGTACAGGGCTCGCGTTGCAGGCGCTCGATGGTTTCTGCACAGGTTATCCTGCTTTTTAGGAGAGTTGCAAAGGCTCTCCGGGAAGCGCAGGTTTCTCTTCTGTGGGGCTGAAGGCCTGGGTTCCTGTGTGGAGGAAGAGAGGTGTCTTCATCTGGGCCCTGAGAGGGGGGTGAAGGGCAGGGCACAGCCTTCCACCTCGGTTTTTACAATGCTCACTTTTCCTTCCCTTTTTTCCCCCCCCCGGTGACTAGATCTGTCCTGCCTGACCTTATGACTCCTGCGTGGCAGCGGCTCTCGGCCCTCGACGAACGACATTTTAAACTGTAGAAGAGGAAGGGGAAAAGATGGGCCATTGGGAGCGTCTCCCTGAAAAGAGTAAACCCAGCCCAGCCCTGCCTCTTTGCTGCTTAGGGAGGAATTCTGCCGCGGAAGGTAAATCAAGCACCTCTCAAAACTTTCTCCGTCTGTGCGCGGGGGATGAGTTTTAAGTCCTTCCTCCACACACGTGGAGCCTCCGACATGTGAACAGTTAGAGTTACATCAGCAGTTTTATGGGGTGTTGCTTTATATATGCTTTCAGGGCTTTTCAGTTGGCTGCTGCCGATAACTTTGAAGTCATATTTATCTGAAAACTTTGTTTTTGCTCGGCTAACGAGAAAGGTCTCTGTATGTCTTGACAGTCCCCCTGAGCCGGCAGTGCCCAGCCCTGCCTCTTTGCTGCTTAGGGAGGAATTCTGCCGCGGAAGGTAAATCAAGCACCTCTCAAAACTTTCTCCGTCTGTGCGCGGGGGATGAGTTTTAAGTCCTTCCTCCACACACGTGGAGCCTCCGACATGTGAACAGTTAGAGTTACATCAGCAGTTTTATGGGGTGTTGCTTTATATATGCTTTCAGGGCTTTTCAGTTGGCTGCTGCCGATAACTTTGAAGTCATATTTATCTGAAAACTTTGTTTTTGCTCGGCTAACGAGAAAGGTCTCTGTATGTCTTGACAGTCCCCCTGTCGCAGCCGGCAGTGCAACGCGTACGGCTGTTCTCGCAGCTTGTAGCTGCCTGATCTCTCCCCTGGCAGATTTACCTAGAGCACCGTTTAGAGATCACAGCCTGCTGTTCACGGGTCCGTGCAGGTTCGCAGTGAAGGACACGGCTCTTGCTCTAAAGCCGTTAAAGAACCTTTGTCGTAAATTAACGTCTACAGGGAAATAGCAAGATCTTCCTTAAATTTCAGAGGTTTAAAATAAATCCTGCCAAACTGGCTTAAAAACTGCCCCTGCCTGATTTCTGTATCTCTTGTTTCACTTGGTGCTCTAGAAGAAGGGCAGACACTGGAATTCCCAGAGCGCTCTCGAAAGAGCGAGGTTCCCTGTGACTTGCAGGGAAAGTGCTTTGTTAACGAAACCCGCTGACGAGCCTGGAGTTCTGGAAAGGCATCCCAAAAGGCTGCAGAGGCAGCTGGAGGCAATGCAAGGCGAACTTCAAACAGAGCTAAAGGTAAAAGCGAGCCGTGAGTTGCGCTGCTCGGCAGTCTCTGCCTGTGTTTTCTCGCTGATCAGTCGGCTTGGTGACTGGCCAACTGCTGGGGCTTCGCAGCTTGTGTGGGCTCCTCGCGGCGGAAAACAGGAAACACTTCGTGCTGAATAGGATCCGTGCTGTTCTGCTGCGAGGATGGGATTGTTCACCAAGTCTGAAGAGATCCCTCGCATCCAAATGCTTTAGACTAAAGGCAAAAAGCTCTTTTGGTCTTCTCGTGTTAGGATTTCCGTGTGGCAGCTGGTCCGGACTCGCTCGGTACAACGGTAGTGCTGGTAGTCGAAGGTGGGTCTGACCGGGAGCGTGGAGACTCGGCCGAGCTGCGCAGGCCAGGCTGCTGAGCTGTCTCAGCGAGGGGCCCGGCTTCTGCCCTGGGCTCCTGGGAATCCTCTCCTCCTGTTTGAGGAGCTGGGACCTCTTGGGGTGCTGCTGGTGGAGGTGGTGGCTCCCGGGCATCCTCCCGCCTGCCAGCTCCGCCTTTCTGCGGCAGGTAGCGGAGCAGCACGTCTGCCCCTGTTGAAACCAACTGCCCGGTGTAGTTTCCTTTGGGACAAGGCATCGCTCCCACTTCTGGTGGAGCAGTTAGAGTTGGGAAGGGACGGGCTGCTGACGGAGCAGCGATGCGGGGTGCTTTTTATAACTGAGTGTGCGTATTCAGACATTTTGCTGGCTGTGACTTATATCTGCTGTTTTGGGGGGGGCGGAACCAAACATAAACCAGTTTAACTTCAGATTTAGGCTCTTCATTTTCTTGGTGTCTTGACACCGTAAGAAACAGACCAGAAAATAAAAGGCTTGGCACAGAGCTGGGTAAAGTGCTGTGCAATTCCAGCATGGCCCCAGCTGTTAACAAGTGGCTTGTTCCGCTTACCTAACGAAGGGAAACCCACCTCGCAGACCCTCGTGTCCTTCTCTGCCTTATCTGTAGCCATGACCGCTCTCCAGACAAACCACTTCTCGCGAGTGCAGGGCCCGGCACGTGTGCGAGGCCCCGTCCCGGTCGGAGCCTGCCGGTGTCTCTGCCGTCACCGATGAGGAACGTGCAGCCCCCCAGAACGTGCAGCCCCCCAGAAGTAGGCTGGGGCCGGGTTCCTGCCTCTGGGCTCTCGGTGGCAACGTCTTCCTCTGGTCTTGCTGCATCTGCCTGTAGACATGCTGCGGGCTGCGGCAGCGTGCTGCGCCGCATTCCTCCGTGATCTCTGGGGTTTGTGGGATGTGTCAGAGCTCAGGTGACAGCTGGGGAGGGCAGCTGGTGCCCCTGCAGCGGGTGGCTTGAGTAGTTTTTAATGGGAGCTCGTACCCCAAGTCACAGGAACTCGTTTAATTCCTGCCCGGGTTCCCGGTAGGCAGGAGCTGTTGCAGACAGAGCTCAAGCAAAATAAAGAGACTCTGCAGTGTTGAAATGCAGCAAGTGGGAAGAATATTCTAAGCTCGTAGCAGAAAGAACAAAACCTGAAATGTGTGTTTCTGCCTGGATCTTGAACATTTCCCTTCTGATTAACCTGGGGCGTAGGAACCTGAGGCTTGGGAGGCTGCGGTTCTGTTTGCGATACCCGGACCGAGCGTATCCCCCGTTCCTGAGGATGATCGGTGACAGTGACAGCTGTGTATGCTGGGAGGGTCACGGGCAGGGTCTCACCCCAGCACTGCAGCCTCTGCAAGGCAGGCGAGTGCTCGGCCGGGGCAGGAGACGAAGCGTGGGTGTAGCCCTGTAAAGGAGTGCATCCCCCTCCCGTTGAAGTTTTTTTGGAGGAATATAATGCTGTCTTGTGGAAATCTGCCGCGAGGTTTCCTTCCCTGACACAAAAGTGGTGCTGACCTTTGAGTGTTCTCCCAGTCGTCCCAGTGTGGTTGCGTATCCGTGGGGTTTGGCGTATTATTTCTGCCCCTTTGGCAGTCCTGTCGAGGCGTCAAAGCCCCTTCACAGCGCTGCAGATTGAATTCCTGAGCTTTGGAAGGGCTTGATCCGAAAAAAGTACAGAAGGGAAGTGGCAGGAATTGGGTGGGCAGCTCAGCAGCTCCAGGTCAGGCCACCCTGTCAGAATGTCTTAATAAAGAGCAGGACCTTGACGTTCCCAAAACAACGTGACTTTTATTTTTTTCCCCCCCCAGAAGTCGTTGCCATGGCTTAGCAACCTGCGGCAACGAACTGCGTTCCCTGAGCTGCTTTCAGTTGCGAAGCAGAGGCTTGCAGTCAGCTGCGATTCTTGATTATGCGTTTCACAGGGCTGTAGGACTTGACGCAGAGCCAAGGACTTGGCAACCCAGGAGATCTTGTCGTGTTCCTCGCAGGCTGAAGGTAAGGGCGGCTGGAGCGGAGCAGGGGTCTGATGGATGTCGCTTCTGCTCATCCCACGGCTCTGGAAGGGAGCTGCCGTTTCAGTTCTCCGTCTGTGGAATTGGGGATGGGATGGATAAAAGCTGTCTTGCGCCGAGCACGCGCAGGCGAGCAGGCTGTGCTGGAGGCAGGAGGGATGGGGCCCCCCGGAGTTTTACCTGGGCTGCTTGGCTTCCTTTTTCAGATGAGCCTTGCCCAGTCCGAGGGGATAACACCCTTGCCCGGTGGCTGCACACAGGGTTGTCCACCTCCCTGTTAGACCGTCCTTTGCTTCTGTAGGTGCAGAGGTGACACTGTCTGCGCAGCGCGATGTGACCTTGGTGTGCCGAGAGCCGCTCCGCTTTCAGCAGCTGCCTTGAGGAACTTCCCAAAGACTTTTTTTTTTTTCCTTTCCTTTCTCGAGGTGGCTGATTTCCCCGGCAAGCTCTTCTGCCTCCAGCCTCTTTCGCCTAAATCCTTTCAACGCATTAAAAGTACAGAAAACAGGATGAGTTTGTCGGGTCCCAGCTGGGAGAGGCTGCAGGCTGGTTGTGCTTTTGTGGTACCGGTAGCGTTGTTTCACGTTGTGGGATTTTGAGGCGCTGCCAGCGTTGGGCACGATGCCTGTAGGTGTTCCCAGGACCATCAGCCGGGCTTTAGTGATCCTGAAGAGCTTCCCAGAATAAGGAATGGCCTTGCCGGGTGGCAAAGCCCTCTAGCCTGATTCTGCAGGGGTTAAGCAATAGGAGCTCTTCAACATGTTGTTTGTCCTTCCACCAGCTACCGAAACGGGATCTTGAACATGGGTAGGGCCTCACGATTGATGTGTTTTCCTCCTATTATACAACCAAGAATGATTGTTTAACCCCGCTTTCCTTTTGATCTTGTTTGCCTGTGTGTACTTGGGCAAAAGCTTCCTTTGATTTGTGAAAGGCTTTTTAGAAAAAGGATTTTTTTTTTTTTTTTTTTTTTTTTTTTTTTTTTTTTTTTTTTTTTTTTTTTTTTTTTTTTTTTCCTTTGGAAAGTTTTGCTCTCTGGATGTGAGCTAATGTCAAACAGAAGATCAACACTGGAGGAAAAATCCCTATGGAAAGAGCTGTTAGATTTGTACTCTCAATGCTTTTGGCTTTTAATTAGCAAATAATGAGTAGTATTTTTGTGTTTTGCCTGTGGCCTCTTGAATCAAAATAGTATGTACTGAAACTTTGTGGATTACAGTCAGTCATTCCTGAAGTCTCTGCTAACTGGTTAAAACACTTTGAAGAAACGCCTCCACGTAAGAAAAGTTTTAGGCCTGGGGGATATCGATTATTTCAGGTGTGGGAGGGACTGCAGTGAGGACGCTGAATCCGTCGGGTTTTGTTCCTGCTGAAAGAAACATGGTTTGGAGAAGGAATGAATTAACTCATGTCACCATTGTTCCGAAAGAAGTACATTAGCTCAACAATTATGTTGAAGCGGGTAGTAACCCTTTAAAGGATTAGTAAGCAAGAATCAAGATACCAGTTAGCGTCGTGTAAACCAGCCAAACCCAACTCCTTGGTGTAGCTGTTCCCTTTGAGCCTGAGCGCGGCTCCGCTGTGGTACTGGTCTGTACGTGGGGTTTAACAGGTCGTGCTGCAGAGCAGCGCTGCTTGAATGCTGCGGTGTTGCAGAGCACGAAGGCTTGCTGGGCTCTTCCCTGAAACTGGAGTTGCTGTTAGGATTGCTTCGCTGGCTTTTCCTGCGAGTGGAGCGTAAATTACTTTAAATTGCCGTCTGCTTCCTGGGTATATGCAACAGCAATTAGAGGCCCTGTATTAATGCTGGAGAGGAGTGAACGAGTCACGTTTCAGCTGAGGCTGGCTGAGTGTCTGATCCATTTTTCTGGTGGGGAGGGAGTGCTGCTGCTCCGTGGTGTCATTAGTGGGGTGGTTAATTATGCACATGCCAAGCAGCTGGTGATGTGCACGCAGGCAGAACTGGTTTGCTGTATCTGCTGCTCTCCACCAGTTACTCTTGATGGAGAAACTGAAGTCGGGCAGGTGAAGCGACTGTCCTGGCCTGCAGACCAGCACTCTCCTCTGCGCCAGCGGTTTTTAAGCTCGTGGCCCGTAGATGTCTCAAATGCATGCAGTAACTCCTGGGAAAACCACTAAACCATGCAGGCTCATTCCACACATGCAGGTAAGCCGGCTGCCAACAAAATGGGAAGAAGCAAAGGAACAGGCAGAGCAATGCTACAAATCTGATCCTGCAGCCGCCGAGTTGCCTCTCCAAACCTCGCCGGTAGCGCTGAGCACGAGACAGTGTGTGGCTGAGCCTGGGGATCACCCGTGCGGGGTGGACTCTGGACCCCCACTCGGTTTTGGTGCTGGCTTTTGAAATCAGATCCGCTCTGTTAAGCAGCGCGTAACACGGGTGAGCACAGGGTATAATTTTGTACCAGAAAAGTCAAGGTAATGATCAGAAAGACCAGGAAGGTCTGACACGAGTCAAGGCTATAAATGCAATCGCTTGGAACGGTCTGGCCAGGTCTGTGGGGCTCGACAGAGCTGCTGAAGCCCCGTGCAGCCAGGAGAGCGCAGTAGGGAAGGTGGCTGGCCCCCAGCCTGTGTCTCATGAAACTGAGTGTTTGTTCTCTTCCCTGCCTTCACATTTCGTAACGCACAGCTGTGTGACTCCGTCCTGCGTGGGTGCTGGGTGCACAACCCCAGGCGGAGGAGCCGTGGGGGATACGGCAGCCTGACCTGCACTGCTGGTGTTTCGTTTCCAAAGAAGTTACGGGATGTACGTTGTGTCAGCTCTTCCTTGCCATTAAATCCTAATGGGGCCTGCATCTGAGCAGGGAGCTCGTGGTTCCAGATTAGGGCAAAGTTTGGGTTTGTGCTCAGCCTGTGTGCCAGCAAGTGCCCGCTTCGTTTCCCTGCCAGGCCCGGCAGTGCAGGGAAGTGGCTTCAGCCAGGAATGCACAGCACGCACTGGGCTTGTTTCTGTCCCGCTGTACTTGCGTGGTTTAGAAACTGGGTCGCTGGACAACTAGGTCAGGCAGGGAGACTTATAGCCAGCTTTAGATTATGCTGCATGTTCGGATTCAATATTGTTCTCGTTAATCTTCAGTTTCAGACCGCTATTCCTTTCTTGTGTGACGCTGGGGGCTGTTGCTAGTGCTGGCTGATGGGCACGACTGCCGGGTGGCTCTAACTCAGAGCAGGGTGGCCGGGCGCTGGGCACTCATCTCAAGTATGTGGTTTGCGGGGGCCCAGCAAGTTCGTCACAGCTGCTGACCACGCTGTGCTCTAAAATGCACAGACTTCAGATGCCGGGGAATGTTGCGAGCCGCAGTGAGCCGTGCTGGCAGGAGGGCAGGCAAGTAATCACCCAGGCTTGGCAAGCTGCCCCTGGCCAGCTGGGCTGCACTAACTGGGTCGCTTGCAGGAGAGCAACAGACTGTCACAGCTCTGCACGCTGACTGTCGTTGGGCTGGTGAATCCTTCCCCATTGTACGGGAACAGGCTGCTGTCACCGGACCCAGCTCTGGCTGTTGACATGAGGGTTTCCCGCGAAACTTCCATTGTGTCAGGTCAGTTAGGAGCTGCTTTAAAGCTGCAAGGCACGGACGTGGGCACAGCTTCA